ACTTTTATTTTATTATTTAAACACGAATTTTAAATAAATTAGCACTCATTGAGATAGAATACATGTGCATCGCGCGTACCTTGAGACTAGTATATATATATATATTCCAGTTTGAGCCTAGGATTGCACGGCTTTAAAACGTGAAACTATGGTCTAAGGCTTTGCTTCCTTATATACGCAACATCTCTCTTGTCTTTTGTCTAAGGTGTTACAGAAAAAGGTATGATGTTTAATGGAAATCATGGTTGAAAACAAAGAAATTCATTGCTATAAGTTTTAGTTCTATATTGTGAGAATGCATGGGAGAAAAATCTTATTATTAATTAAAGTGTTGTACAACCCTATTTATATACAGTGATTACATAATAACAGGTATCTACTTCGCGATGTAGGACACTATATACATGACTAACTACTTAACACTCCCCCTCAAGCCAGTGCATATAAATCATATGTACCGAGCTTGTTACAGATGTAACTAATACGAGAACCAGTAAGAGACTTAGTGAAAATATTTGTTAGTTGATCATTCGACTTTACAAAATTTGTAACAATATCTCCTGAGAGCATCTTTTCATTGACAAAGTGACAATCGATCTCAATGTATTTAGTCCTCTCATGAAACACCGGATTTGACGCAATATGAAGAGCAACTTAATTATCACACACCAGTTTCATCTTGTTGATTTCTCCGAACTTCAACTCCTTGAGCAACTGCTTGACCCAAACTAGCTCACATGTTGCCCTAGCCATGGCTCGATATTCGGCTTCGGTACTAGATCGAGCAACTACATTCTGTTTCTTGCTCTTCCAAGTGACCAAATTACCTCCTACTAGAACACAATATCCAGACGTAGAACGTCTATCAGAAGGTGATCCTGCCCAATCAGCATCTGTGTATCCAACAATCTGCCTGTGGCCTCGATCCTCGAATAGTAACCCTTTGCCTAGAGCTGACTTCATATACCGAAGAATGTGAACTGCATCCCAGTGACTATCACAGGGAGAATCCATAAACTGCCTTACAACACTCACCGGAAAAGAAATGTCTGGTCTAGTCACTGTGAGGTAATTCAATTTGCCAACCAACCTCCTACATCTCGTAGGATATCTAAGAGGCTCCCCCTATCCAGGCAGAAGCTTAGCATTCAGATCCATACGAGTGCCAACAGGTCTGCAACCCATCATTCCAGTCTCCTCAAGAATGTCTAAGGCATACTTCCGTTGTGAAATAACAATACCTGAGCTAAACTGAGCGACCTCAATACCTAGAAAATACTTCAATCTGCCCAGATCCTTAGTCTAGAGGTGCTGAAAGAGATGCTGCTTCAGATTAGTAATACCATCCTGATCATTGCCAGTAATAACAATATCTTCAACATAAACCACCATATAAATACACAGATTAGGAGCAGAATGCCGATAAAACACAGAGTGATCAGCTTCAGTACGAGTCTACCGAACTCCTGAATAACTATGCTAAACTTACCAAACCAAGTTCAGGGAGACTGTTTCAAACCATATAGTGACCTGCGCAATCGGCATACAAGACCACTAGACTCCCCCTGAGCAACAAAATCAGGTGGTTGCTCCATATAAACTTCTTCCTCAAGATCACCGTGGAGAAAAGCATTCTTAATGATTAACTGATAAAGAGGCCAATGACGTACAACATCCATGGACAAAAAGAGACGAACAGATGCCACTTTAGCCACGGGAGAGAAAGTGTCACTATAATCAAGCCAAAAAATCTGAGTGGATTCTTTTGCAACAAGACGAGCCTTAAGCCGATCAACCTGGCCATCCCGACCAACTTTGACCGCATATACCCAACGACAACCAACAGTAGACTTACCTGAAGGAAGAGGAACAAGCTCCCAAGTGCCACTCGCATGTAAAGCAGACATCTCCTCAATCATAACATGTCGTCATCCTGGATGAGATAGTGCCTCACCTGTAGACTTAGGGATAGAAACAGTGGACAAAGATGATATAAAAGCATAATGAGGTGATGACAGACGACGATAACTTAAACCAACATAGTGGGATTAGGATTAAGTGTGGATCGTACACCTTTGCGGAGTGCAATTGGTTGACTAAGAGGAGACAAGTCCACATTAGGTGTAGAATATGATGCAGGACGTGAATCACCTGGGCCTGATGCTGGACGTGGACAACGATGATAAGTCAAGAGTGGTAGAGCTGCAGAAGGTTGAACTGGACTAGATGGTGTAACTGGAACTATAGGTGGTAGAACTGGAGCTATAGGTAGTGGAGCTGCAACTGGAGCTATAGGTAGTGGAGCTGCAACTGGAGCTGTAGGTGGTGGAGCTGCAATTGGAGCTGTAGAGGAAGATGAATGGGAGATAATGACTGAATCTCCAAAAGATGAACCGGTACCACCTCAGAAATATCTAAGTGATTACCTGGACCTGTGAAGTATGATTGGGTTTCAAAGAAGGTAACATCAGCGGACATAAGGTACCGCTGGAGGTCAGGAGAATAGCATCGATACCCCTTTTGCGTTCTCGAGTAACCCAGAAATACGCACTTAAGAGCACGAGAAGCTAATTTATCTTTTCCTAAAGTAAGGTTATGAACAAAACACGTGTTTCCAAAGACACAGGGTTGAAGAGAGAACAAAGGTAAGTGGGGAAACAGGACAGAGAATGACACTTGATTTTGGATAGCTGAAAATGGCATACGATTAATAAGATAGCAAGATGTAAGAACTGCATCTCCCCAAAAACACAACGGTACATGAGATTGTATGAGTAGGGTATGTGCAGTTTCAATAAGATGTCTATTCTTTCTTTCAGCTACCCCATTTTGTTGAGATGTGTACGGACAAGATGTTTGATAATAATCTCATGAGAGTTCATAAACTGCTGAAATGAGTTAGACAAATACTCTAGGGCATTATCACTACGAAATGTGCGGATAGAAACTCCAAATTGATTTTGAATTTTAGCCTGGAAGTTCTGGAAAATAGAAAACAACTCAGACCGATTTTTCATCCGAAATATCCAAGTGCACTTGGAATAATCATCAATGAAACTGACAAAGTAGCGGAATCCCAAGGCAACTGACTCGACTAGGACCCCAAACATCTGAATGGATTAAAGTAAAAGGTGACTCTGCTCGATTATCAAGACGCCGAGGGAAATGGGAGCTGTTATGCTTAACAAGCTGACATGACTCACACTCTAGAGTGGACAAGTGAGATAAACCAGGTACCATTTTCTAAAGTTTTGACAAATTGGGATGTCCCAACCGTTTATGTAATAAATCTGGTGAATCGGTAACAAGACAAGTTATTGAAGGAAGACAAGATGTGAGTCCATGTGATTTTGCAAGGATAAGGTAATAAAGTCCATCTGATTCACGCCCGGTACCGATGATCCGCCCCGTACTATGTTCCTGTATAAAAACAAGGTCATCAGGAAATATAATAACGCATTTAAGTGATTTGGCTAAGCGACTAACGGCTATGAGATTAAAAAGACTATTAGGAACATAAAGAGTTGAATCTAAACGTAAGGAAGAAAGTGGGCTTGCTTGACCTATTGCAGTTGTCATGGTTTGAGACCCATTGGCCAGTGTGACTGTTGGAAGAGATTGAGAATATGAAATACTAGTGAAAAGAGATTTGTTACCAGAAATATGATCAGATGCACCTGAATTAATGACCCAAGACTCAGAGGTTGAAGATTGGGAGACACAAGTCACGTTACTATCTGTTTGAACAACGGAAGCTATCCCTGAATGTGTTTGTTTGCATGCTTTGTACTGAACGAACTCAATATAATCCGGTAAAGAAACCATATGGATTGAATTCAATGCATTGGATCCAACGGATTGTGAGTTAAAGGCTTCTGATACGAATGCTATTATAATATTGCGCCGGAAAACTCATTGTTCATGCCGGAAAAATAAAAAAGTCGTCGAATTTTGGTGTAACATGGATGGGTGGCCTCGAAAACACCTTGCAACCAAACTTTCCTCAAGAAGGTCTGCCAGAAAATGGCCGGAAATAGCTGCACGCGCCGGCGCGTGGGACAAACGCGCCGGCAGATCTCTCGCTTCTGAAAGCGCGTGTGAGTGCGTGAGATCTCCTTTGCCGGAGATTCTTGCTGGGGTTTGCTCGCCGGAGGATTCTTAACCTTGTGGTGGTGTTGGTTTTTGCACAGCACCAACTGAAGAAGGATTGACGCCGGATAACCACCGGAATTAGCGCAGTGACTGTTTTTTGTTTTTCTTTCCCGGAGTCGCTAGTATTTTTGCACAGCGATGAATCTCTCACACTAGCTCTGATACCATGTAAAAATGCACGGGAGAAAAATCTTATTATTAATTAAAGTGTTGTACAACCCTATTTATATACAGTGGTTACATAATATTAGGTATCTACTTCCCGATGTGGGACACTATACATAACTAACTAATTAACATATATAATCCAATTTATCTTCAGAACCAGTAGGTGGATCTTCTCCAATAAACCAAAACAGAAAGAGTCGCATTACTTGTGATAGGGAGTAATAAATTCATTGCTACAAGTTCTATTCAGTAGGTTGATCTTTTGCAATAAACTAAAGCACAAAGGGTCACATTACAAGCAATGTGGAGAGTAATTTCACGTGCAACCCCCACATTAACCACGATCATTATAAGATCAACTAATATGTTATTGCCATTGCAGAATGCGCTTCTTAAGTCAGAGCTAATATTCAGAAATTAATTTACTTCTTTTGTATATTAACATTTTAGGGATGAGATTACCTGATCACAGCATACAAGTTTAGTAATCAAAGGATAGAACTCTCTAAGGTGACTCCTGAATATTTGGCTGTTCATAAAGCACATACCCCTCAGCACCTGAAAAACAATTAGAATAAAAAAATGCATGAGAAATCAAAAAACCACTACTGAAATCAGAATCCAATTGTATGAATTCCAAAACTCCAGAGAAGCAAACAGAAATTTAATGTATGGCGGAACTCAGAAAAGTGAAAATCCAGCACAAACCAAGAAGTACCATCAATGCATCAGTACCTCATGAATTTAAAATAATAATTATGTCAGAAGGAGAAAAGAAATTCAGAATGAAATAAAATCTTCAAAATGAGAGTTTCAATGATTTTGATAGGAAGTGAGGAACAGGGCTCTATTTTTCCAACACAACCTTTTTCTGTTAGAAAAAATGAGAAATATGTCCAAAAGGAAACAAGTACCATTAGAAACCACAATATTTTCAAGGTTATAATATCTTAACAATAAAGGAAATGATGCTGACAAAGACTGATGGTCAATTGGGTTAACAGAATTGGTAATGTGAGCAAAACCACAACTTTGGTATGAGAAGCAGCATCTTCCAAGTTTGGAATAATTGATGAGTAGATACCCTAGCAAGGATATCAGAGTTGTACATCATAAATTACAGCTTGTTGGCTGAGAATAATTCTAAACCTCTATCTCGGTTGTGGCACTACCAACATAGCCATATATTGCAATCATAAAACGTGTTTCTTGTTGAATCGTGCGACTTCATCATCCAAAAGCGTAAACAATGAGAGCGGGACACTTCCATTTATTTAATTATTTCTTAACCACACCCTCATGTGAAAGCCTAATTCTTTTTATTAGACCAAGTGTGCAGAAATACTCTTTGTTAATGGTGGTGGTAGTAGGACTTGAACCTAAAACCTCTCCGCTCTGCTACCACGTTAAATTGTGTGACCACCTCATCTAAAAGCTTAAACTACTATAAAGGACACACTTCCATTTGTTCAATTATGTATTAATAGTTATGTATCTTTACAACTTACAAAGGGAAAAAAAGTGGTTTACTATAAGTGAGCTACTAAATATTACTGTGCTAATTAATTGAAAGCAGTTAAATGACAATAAAGACAAAACTAGAAACTTCAAGAAATCATGCACTCCCTACCTTAACAATGATCGGAGAACGCAATTCCAGAACTCGATGAACATCCATATTAGCACTCTCCGCCGTGCAGGACTGGAAGTCAGATGCCTCCCTCAGAACCTGTCCACAAAATGACACCAGTTTCTCTTCTGCAATTTGTTGAAACTTATCTTCTTCAATTGATCCCGACTGTTGAAACTTATCGTTAGGAGCTGCATCATTATTCATCAAACTATTTCCCTTCTGAGCAACTGTGGTCTCAGTTGATTCTTCCCTTATAGAATTAATCCCATCTGTTGTCTTTTGTAAGATATCAAGATAGATGGAAGTCCCTGCTAATTCCTGCCGGAGAAGATTAAATGGTGGCCTGTCCAACAATTAGCTAAATCAACACACAAGATGCTAGCAATTTGAGAAATATAGGTCTAACGGGAGGAGAAAAGAATTTGTGGAAATAACATAGGAACTGATGCCAACCTTTCAGCAGGTATTTGGCGCATCCGCAATCTGAGATTGGAATAAGAATTATATGATGCAGCAAACTCTAACACAGAGAACAAAATGTCCATTATAGTTATCTTGTGTGTTGGCTTCAACTTGTTCCAGTATTTCTTCTGCATGTTTGAAACACATCAAAAAGGAGAAATAAGAGGAGCAGAAAAATATTTTCACAAATGCACTATAAAGTTTGCTTTATGGTTAAAGTGGCTCATGGAACTGAAATCTGAAATCCAGAGACTCCCAACCCATTTGAAAAAAACGACTGCCACTCGAAAACAAACTATAGGTAATAGCTACAGCTGCCAAGAAGACACTCCATCATGTTCAGAATGCAGTATATTCACAGTTCTCACATCATATAGTAGGCAAGATCATAGCAGGTTTACAAGTGTCCTCCTATGCATGTCTGTCAAACTTAGGGGTGGCAAAACTAACCCAAACCCATTTGACCCGCCCAACCCGCCCAAGCTTTAATGGTTTTATGCTAGAATGATTTTGCAAATGGGCTGTTTTGGGCTAGCCCATGTTAACCCATCTAGAATCATCAGCCCAAATGGACCCATGATGATGCCCAACCTTGACCCATGGAAATGTTCAATCTTAGAGTTCTACCTTGACCCATGTTCTGGAAAATATTTTCTAATTTTCCCATGTTTGGTTGATATCCTCATAAAGAAATTACTAATTTTATTGAAATGGAAGAAAATACTTTTTCTACAACATGAAAAGAAAATATTCTTTTTGTTGAAATAAAAGAAAATACTTTTTCTACAACAGGAAAAGATAGTACTCATTTTGTGAAAAAGAAAATACTTTTTTAACATCACGAAAAGAAATTATTCTTTTTGTTGAAACATGAAAAAAAAATACTTATTTTATTGAAATGAAAGAACTTTCTACATCATAAAAAGAAAATATTCATTTTGTTGAAATGAAAACAAAAATACTATATCTACAACATTAAAAGAAAGTACTCTAAATAATATTTCTGTTAGGGTGGGGGACGGGGGTGGGTGAGAAGGTCTAATTTTACTACTTTTTTATTATTATGATCTTTGTTAGTATTAAAAGATGAAGAACTATCAAATAAAATTCTAAATCGAAATCGAGGAAAGAAATCATTTGGCATGAATTGACATTTATTCAAAAACATAAGTTAATTTTTATACATGCTTGTTTTTTTTTTTTTTTT